TGGGGGTGTGCTCATAGGGGGGGGGGGGGGGGGAATCACCCTTCAGTAAATATGTATCTTGCTACTTATTTCAATGGTATTAAACTTCATGTGTAAATACTTAGCATGTATATAAAAAAACTCCTACTACACCTTCTATGTTTTTTGATATGTTCTGTCTCCATGGTACACGGACACTTTAGGTCAACGAACATGCACTAATGATAAACCTATCTGCTTCCTGAGTAGAAACATGATTAAAGTAGCCCTTTTTACCTTCAGCATTATCAAATAGCTTACAAGTTTAAAATGCACAAGTTCACAGATGAAGTCGTCTTTCAATTTTGCCAAAAAGCATTCTTTGTAGAGATGATGTTAGTTCTAACCTTCAAGAACAGACATGAAAAGCAAAATCTAACTTAAGAATTAGGTTCAAAATACCTACACATTTTTAGTCAGAGGTTTTAAGTAATTTATAATTAGATGGATATAGTTACTGCTATTAGCTACACCTCAGCTAATATTTTGAATGTTTAGCCATCATGTTTACAAATGTACCACACAGCAAAACACTCCAAATTCCACTATACTTTTTATGCTATAAATCTTAAGATATTATTGAATTTTCCTTGAGTTACGGTTTCCTTGAATTGTACAGTGTTAAAATTTCATTCATTTATTGATTGTTTTAATATAGTTAACCTTAAACAATATATTCTCTGTGAAGTGGTTACTTAAATTCTCAACAATAATTGTTTTCTGTAAGCATTTTCTCAAGTTCTTTAATAATTTTTGTGAGATTTGATCATTTGTTACAAAACTCAACATAAAAATATTCGGCAGGCATCCTCTTAATTGACCTTACTACATGACATTCATTCAAGCAACCACAAGACCAGTTACGCTTTACCTATACAGTGTTCATTACAAAATGATTTTACTCAATCTAAGGATTATGACATAACATCATCTTTTGTTCCAACTAGGGCTGCATAGAAAATTAATTTTGTTTTGCCTTGAAAGAATATCTTTGCTTTTGATAGGATTGAGAGTAATTCAGCAGTTTCCGATTATAAAATTAACCTGCCGGGAAACATAGGGATGGCTAAGTGGGTAACTAAGCGGTACTGGAAATATAGCTGATTCAGGATTTTCTAATGGATTGTTTTTCTATCATTCACCCTTGAATTACAGTACTGCCACACAGCCCCAATACCAGTAACTGTACCAGTTACCTCTAGAAACCTAAACCAGTCAAGTTTCTTTGTCAAACATCTTTAAATTAAAATATGGTATAGCACAAGCCATGTATGTTTCTGGCATACTACCTGACCCCCATTTTGAATGTTCACTGAATGTTCACACTGAACCAAGCTGCTTGGCTAGTGCTCTCACCACAGGTCTTAACTCATGAGAGGAACAGTCCCGTCTTGTATGAATGTACTGATGAATCTGATCCTCAAGTTACAAGGCAAATCTTTCCCACCTTTTCCAGTAGAACCAATACTCAGCATTTAAAGGAGTGAACAATAACTGCCCATATTATTTTAAAGCTTTTGGGTTTGTATGAACTGGGAAAGGGCTAGTGCTCTCACCACAGGTCTTAACTCATGAGAGGAACAGTCCCGTCTTGTATGAATGTACTGATGAATCTGATCCTCAAGTTACAAGGCAAATCTTTCCCACCTTTTCCAGTAGAACCAATACTCAGCATTTAAAGGAGTGAACAATAACTGCCCATATTATTTTAAAGCTTTTGAGTTTGTATGAACTGGGAAATCTACATTGTAATTCAGTATGAAAGGTAAGTGAAGAGAGCTTTGTTTTTCCATTTTTCTTCTGCAAAACAACATCTCCTGTACTCAACTACTTACTTATGACCTTCTAAGATGTTGAACTCCTACAAAAAAAAGAAAATTACATGCGAGAAACAACCTTGTCTCTGGAACACCATCCCACAAACACAATTACTCAGTTGGCTTGTATGCTAGTGCAGGCTTCTGTCTCCTACCTCACCTTACATGTTTACCCTTAATAACATAAAAGAAAGAGCTAGTGAAAACAAGAGTCTTGCCCGAAGATGCTAGCAGTACCGTGCCAGTGTCCAGCTTTCTGAAGGTATGCCAAGGACCAGCTCCAAAGAGATCTGGCATCGAGATCTCCATTCAGCCACCTGACCGCTTGCAATGTATTTTCATAAATATGCTCTTATGTTTAGTGCAGACAAGTAAACCCTTGAAGCAAGTATCAGCTTTGTTTTTCCTCTTCATAGAGGTATTTTGATTTGCACATACTTTGATGTTATGCTTCTGAAATAAACCTTACACCACCGTCTCATGTATAATTACTGTTTTCTGGATTATTCCCAGCTTCTACACAGTTTAAACACATTCCCTGGATTTTCAAGCAGGATGTAGGGAAGTGGGTAAGGATTGCATGTTTTCTACTGATTTTTCTCCCCAGTTGAGTTTCTAGTTTACACTATACAGATTGCAACCAAGATCTATAAATCTCTTAAAATAAACTGTCAGAATGAAAACGCCCCCTCCGTGGTGTTCTCTAACCCAATTAAAAACTCCTCGTTGATTGTTTTTGTTTCAAAATACCACCAGTCTGAAAATACTATCATAAACAAACAGCAGTGAGCCACAGATTGTTAGCTAGGAATCGGTACAGAATATTTATCTAAGTGAATCGAGATGAAATGGAATATAATTCCTTGTTTAATTTTGACAGGAAAAAAAATGTATTGTTTCTGTTGTGTTTTTTAAAGGATACAAAGCTTGTTCAAAGACATCCACAAAATGCCTCAGGGCAGAAATGACACTGCCAGAGTTTCCTTTATGCTCAGAATGTATGTCACTACAAAACATATTTAGTTTACCGATCATAAATATTTATTTACCTATGGTGTAAAAACACAAGTTTGGCTTTCATAAATTTTTGTTTGAATTGCCAGACATGCTAAGACATCTCTCTTTGGCTTACTTTTCTAGTGTTTTTTTGTCAGGAATGACACACTTGATTCAAATTACATGTATTCTGATTACAAATCCATGAACTACTCTATTAAGCTTTAACAACAGCTCTCACGTTAAATGTTTACTATTATAAAGGTCTTACCTCAAAAATTTCAAAGCCATAGATGTCCAGCACCCCCATTACCTTCTTTCTCACTTTTGTTTGTGCCTTAAAAAAAAATTAAACATTGAGTCAGCCATCTGTACATTTCATACTTGGGAATCAAGAAAACTAATGTATCTCATAAGTAGGCTGTCAAATTCTGTAAACTGAAATGTTACGTATGGTTTCCCAGAATACACTTAACATGAATATTTTCATAAGCTTAAAAACAGAGCAGACAGCAATTTGTTGAGCTGTGATACAGTTATTCACCTGTACCACGTGCAACAGTGTACAACCAGGAAAAATGAAATGGGCAAATACAGTTTTACTGTCCACTTTAATTTAAAGGATTTCTATTGATTTTTTTACAGGCACAAAACAACAATACCTTAATGCTCTCATTGATTCTGGTAACAAGCCAAGAGAACAGTCGACTGTATAAATTCTTAGCCAGAGCATCACGGGCGTAATAAGCCTAAACAGAAGAAAGAAGAAAAAAGTTATAGATGCTGGGCTAATTCCAAACTTTGTATGTTACTGACGTATCTTAAAGGTGCTATGAACAGAGTGAGAACGGCTCACGCAGCAGTGCCTCTGCCTAAGCAGAGGAGCCAGACCAGGGCTGCCAGCACACTGTGGCAGCGTCAGTGGCTTACTGGTGCACCCCTCTGCCTTCCTGGCCGCGGGCTGGCTGGAACAGCAGCCACAATCAGCGCACTTCGACTCCCTTCCTGCTCATCCGGATATCCTCTGAAGACTCACATCCCCCATCCTAATCCTAAGCAAAGGGACTGGAGCAGCAGCAGAGGAGCCAGACCAGGGCTGCCAGCACACTGTGGCAGCGTCAGTGGCTTACTGGTGCACCCCTCTGCCTTCCTGGCCGCGGGCTGGCTGGAACAGCAGCCACAATCAGCGCACTTCGACTCCCTTCCTGCTCATCCGGATATCCTCTGAAGACTCACATCCCCCATCCTAATCCTAAGCAAAGGGACTGGAGCAGCTGCAGTAAACGACATTTCTAGCCTGAGCTGATGAGACACAGGTGGCAATCACACTGGCTCTGCAGCATTACAGAAAGATAAATTCACACTGCCAGCAAAAGTTTTTCAGCAGCCCGGGGCATACAACTCACATGAAATTACACCAGTTGCTCTAAATGAAAACAGCCTGCCACAATACTTTCAACATGCGTGTTGTGCAGAACTGTTTCATTTTTTCATTCTCTGCAACATTTTCCTATCCCTCATCTTTTTGAGGTAATTCACACATAAAAACAAAACATCCAGTATATTTAAACACTTATAAACTGCTGAAGAAAAAACACACTTAGGCTAATGATATGTTTTAGTCAGTACAGCCTATTAGTTGTATTTTTTATGGTTTAGTCACGTAGAATAAATTGCCATTTGAAACAATTCTTTCCTTTAAAATCAGGACCTCTTTTTACCTGAGCCACATTTAGTGTTGTTGAAACTTTCTCTTGCTTGGCTTCAACCGTCCGGAAGCTGAAAGCTCTTTCTAGTACGGACTGGTCTATACCCGTTAACTCGCAGATTTCCTTGAGTTCTAGCATGAAAAAGGAGAGTGTAAATATAATGAACCCTTTCATATAATTGCTTTTCCTTCCCCAAAACTATTAGCTTTTAAGTAGTTCAGTATTTTCCCAAAGCAGGTTTTCTTCAACAGAAGTGTCCCCCATCCACACTCTCTCTCCCCCTATCCTGCCAAGAAAAGTTTTAAAAAATATGCACAGCATGAGGAAACAGAGTTATTGGTTTTGAAAGCACTTTCTATCTGGTTATTTTTGTGAAGAAACTTTTCTTCCATTTATCACAGACTACTTTTCATGATGAAAAACTTTCAAATGAAAAGAAATGAACTTTCAAAATGTATCAACTGCAAAAACATGACCAAATGAATCTGACATTACAGGCAGAGATACCCTACTACAAAAGAACAAAAAGCCTCCACTGCAGAATAACCAAGCAGTCACAGAAATGCATAACACCATTTCACGTTTCAGAAGAAAGTGTTAATAAAGTGGAAAAAAAGAAAATAATCATTTTTGGAATTTCAAACAGAGCAATTGAAATTGCACAGAATTCAACCCATGTTTGCCTGCGGGTGAGTTTTGGAAGCAATCTAATTTAATTCATCAGTAAGGATATTCTATGTCTGCAGAAACTACAAAATTAATAATGACTTCAGACAAATGAGTGGTTTTCCTCCCATCACTAATCTCATCTTACCATTTTTATCTTTGATTTTACTTTCATCTAGGCCATTCACGCGAGATTCAGGCTTAAATTCAATATTTCCCAATTTTAGAACGGCTGCCACCACTTCAAAAACAGACTGTGTTTCATGATCCATAAAACCAACAATCTGCATTGCATTCTGGAAAGGGGACACATAAAATTATGAGATAAAACAATCTACATTTAAACAGTTCATACATCCAAAATTCAGCATTTTTCTGTATTAGCATAAATCAGAAATGTTTTACGAACACTTTTTTGTAGCAAAAAGAACATGATATAATTACTACGCTTGGATAAGTAAGTTTTTCAATATAAAAGACAGGTTAAGGAAGATCTGGTAATCGAGCTGGCGTGTCAGTCCAGTCCACTTCCAGGATTCATTCAGTTTATGGGTTTCTAAAAATGCAGTACTTTACCTTTTAGCCACTTAATGTAGTTTATAACCCAACCCAATTTTTCACAGTCAAACGAACAGGTACTGCCTGTCCTCTCAGGCCACTCTGTTGCTCTAAAAGTCAGTAACTTTTACAATCTAAATTTGCATACACTGGGTAACCAGGGTCCTGCATTCTTCTTGTCCCTGAGTACAATCAAGCAAAAACATCACGGTAAATCATCTTGAGAACCATCCCTGGTTTTCTTTCGACTTGGTCAGCATCACCTGGTTCATGAAGCTCAGTCACTGCCATCATAAGCCGCTACACAATATAACCTTTTCCATGATCTGATCAAGGGGTCTGGGCTTTTTTTTTCCCCCCTTCCTTCCCTGCCCCCTCCTTTCTTTTTCTTTTTCTTTTTTTTTTTCCGTCTTTTTTGTATTCCCACTAGAATACGCCAGCAACTTGGTTCTTTGTATTTTCTAGTTGTAGCTAAGCTTCCCTGTGCAAACACACTACTCCCTGGCATGAAGAGTGCTAGCACTCAGAAAAGACGGCCCTCCCAGCCCAGCCCAGAGCGAACGGCCAGACCAAGGGCATAAGAACTCTGCAGTAGTGTTGAGCCCTTTGGGGTTTAGACCCAACCCCTGTTCCCTCTTACCCTAACTGTCCTGAAGTTTGCAGCATCATCCACTCCATTCACTTTGGCAGAATCAAGGCCCAGGTAGTTGTATCTGCTGAAGTCCCGCTCCAGTTTGAGTTTGCCTAATAAATCAAAAAAAAAGTATCATTCGTAAGAGTGTTCTTGTTCGTAGCTCTTTTATTCCAGAACCAGTATTGTCAAGAACTGTTGTTATTACTAGTAGGATTAAGTTTTCTTTAAGGATCTTTTAATTACAAGCCTTCTGAGTAAGAATAGGCTTTCTTCTTTGTTTATAATACATTGCAAAGGCAATTCTGACTCAGATATCTGGATAATACCAAACCATATATTTACTTCAGGTATTACTATTGCCACTACCACCAATAATTTGAAAAATGAATCAATATCACATTTCCCGCAAAGGATGATGTGTGTGGAACAGCACATTAAATATAAAGACGACTCATATCTGAAAATGGCACAAGGGCAACACTTACAGAGGAAGTCTTCTGATGCACCAGACAGTATCTGATAGAAAATGTGAAAGTTTCTTTCACCTCTTGGCTGCTTAACAACACGAGACTTCTCTAGCAGATCTAAACAAACAAACAAAGTCTCACAGGTCAGGGAAAGATTGTTGGAGCAAAACCCCTTAATATGAATATAATCCCCCACCGTTTTCTACTTCATTGCTTTATATCGTCATCAGCAAATTAGAAGATGATAAATGGTACGCACAAACCTTATCACAATGTATTGCATTAGTACATCTTTCTCAAATAAGTTATTTGAGCAAGCTGTAAGCCCAGTACACTTCTAAATGCTGTAGTCTATGAGCTGCAAAGAAAACTCAGGTCAGGGAGGCAATGTGCTCAGAAGATGTTGACCAATGCACAGTACCACCACAAAATTAAGATTTGGTGAGAATGATGGTACGGGTGAAGGTTTGAAAAGAACTGAAACGTTAACAGGCTAAACACATGAAAGATGGAGAAATGAAAGGGGGAAGCCAAATAAAGAATTTAAACTGAATAATCATGTAGCACTTTGTGATCCTCAGGTGCATCAGACTATGAAATAATTCTCAAGGGGACTGAGAGAAGCTCCATCATAAGACACTTAAAGTGAAATGGAAAAGCATCACTGTACTGATTGAGTAGTTTGACAAGAAGATTGCTTCGTCCACCGCCGTTAGTGACGGGCACATTTCTAAGCCTTGCCAATAAGGGTAGGAATCCAGGCAGACAGCAGACTTGTTACACATTGCAAACACTTCAGACCCTACATTTACCATGGAGGTGACAATACAAAGGTTGTTCAGCCTGTACTGCACTGAAAAGCTGTAGTCCCCAGTGCACCGGGAGAGGGGGGAGGGATGCGATAAGGGAACTCCTGGACAGGTATCGGTGTCACTTGCTGTTTTTGTACAAAAAAAAATGTTTTTCCTTCTTTTCTCACTGGCACACGAGGGCTCCACACCATTTTTTCAGACAGTGAACCCACAGTTCCCAGTATACAGTTTCTCTTAAGCTACATATATTCAGCAACATGAAGGTAGAGACATTCAGTGCCTCTTTTCGAGTGCACAGCAAAGGAGTTCCCCCATGCATTTACCACTACGTACCCATCTCAGCTCTCTCTGACTGGAGTTAAGTTGTCTCCAAGCTGTGCCCATGCAAGAAGAAAGCCCCAAAAGGGAAATGACCACAGCTTGGATGTCACTCTTCAGAAGAGCTGCCACAAAGTTGAGATGAGGTTTCACAAAGGTACAACGCTGGGAACACCAATTAATTTAAGGACACGTGGGTTGCTAAACACTTCCCCTGCCTGGCTACTGTAATATCCGACGTGTATTCTACTATACCTTTCCTCAGATTTCCATTTCTGCTGAAACTGAGCCTGTTTAGTCTTAGCAATCTGGAAAGTTAGAGGCGGCGCTCAGTGCAGCCACCTTTGTGCTGCAAAGCCCCCTCCAGCCCCGCCACAGAGGAGCAGCTGGGGAGCGGATGCCTCCGCGCCGGGCTGCAGCCCCCCGGCTCCGCCGGCTTTCTGGCACGCCAGGGCTTAACCCGAGAGGGAGCGTCTGCCCTGGAGTTCGCCCCGTGAACAGAGGAGCAAGGAGGAGTGCAATAGAATGTATTCATATTTTCGGTAGCTACAGGCAGCATGTTGTGCCTGTGCTGCGCACCGTAATTACCTAAGCTTATACCCTTTCTCGTGGAATAGGAACCGAAGACCAAACTTCAACCCACAAAATTATACAAGCCTTAGGAGGCCCTCCTCCAAATAAACTACAGAAAGACAGATTCAAAAGCTAATTTCTGCCCTAACAATTAGCCAGTGACAACAATGACAAAAATTCAGACAGTATTATTAATCTTCTGGTTGGCTTATAGTAGGACAAGTTTCAAATATTTTACAGACCAGCTGAACTGTTATTCCATAAACATGCAATTGCTTGAGAGAAGAAGTGCAACCACTGTGGTAGGTGACAGCGAACGTAGCTCCCAACGACCAGAGCATGAGACTGTATGAAGACGAATACCTCTTCACGGTCGAATGCACTGTGTGACCACGTCAGAACTTTAGCCTTGTTTGAACAGACATTTGTGCTTTTATAACTCAATAACCCTACAGTCTCTTTCCTTCCAAAGGTGGCCCTCCTTCAGCACCTGGAAGTTTTGCACATCCTGGTGACAAAGTACACCCAAGACACACCCAAACAAGTGGCTGTCCCATACTACCAGCAGCTCATCTTTACATTAGGATGGGGCAGGTTACAGATTTCCACTTTTGCTTTTTCCATTTTATTGGCATCTTTCTTTTTTCTTTTTTTTTTTTTAAATCACAGACGACTAACATCTGATGGTTGATGCTATGTTGGAAAGGCATAGATCAGAAGGTGTAGTTGTCACCAGCAGCCTAGTGTGCAACCTCAATACCTCTGACTTCACCTAAGGTTGGGGCTCCCCTCCTTGAGCTGTGCTTCATCCTAACTATCCAGTTAGCTGTTGGATACCTGATCCTCTCTAGTTTTTAATTCATGACTGAAAGGGAGAGGCTGGTCCACCATCCAAGTGTTAATACTTGGGCTGAGAAAGGCAAGGTGAGTGCCAGGCAGTTCAGAGTCACGCTGGCTGTGAAGGTTCTCCAGTGAAGTGTTGGAACGGATCGCAGCCAAATTTGATCTCAAAGAAATAAACAACTTCAGCTCCCGCGGTGGCTACACACACTTCAGGAAATGGCTGTATTTTCAAAGGATGTTGAAGCAATGCAGTTTGTGAAGTGGTTTGGCTTATTTGGGTTTAAAAACATTCTATATATAAATTTACTCAAATGCTCTCATAAAAGCTCAGCTACATATCCTGGCAAAATGTTATATGTAAGCCGCCTTCTAATTACATGCATGCCTTCGGCAGATTTAACAAACAGTTTCTTGAGCATGTGTCAAATGAGTTCTGTTAGAAGGATAACTGTCCTGGATTTTTCACCACAGTTTATCTTACTTACATGTTTTTAGAAGCAAGGACGTTAACTAATTAACAGTCAGCTTTCCAAAGTCCCAATATTCCATATTCTTTGTATTCAGCCTTTGTAATTGAGGAAAAAGGCTCCAGAAAGCAGTTACTGACAGAAAATCAGATATTTACCTTAACAAAGCAGCTGTTACCACTTCTTTTTAAAGCTGTATTCATTCTCTGCCTTTTTTCTTTTATGCCCACATGCAGACTGAAATCAGACTGGTAGAAAAGATCCAGACCATCTGCCCTACTCTTAAGAAAACTTCTTCCCTTTGTTTGCCTTAATTAGCATTTTAATAAATCAACCAAATATATTTTCCTTAAAGCAACTACTGCACAACAAGTAACTTTTGTGTTAACGCTCACATATTTATAAATTCTGTGGATTGAACTGTGAAAGAGAAGACACAAAGATGCACATCAGATTTCTGCATGCATCCACTTGGTAATTTTTACAGTGGCATGTGTGGGCAGATGGTGCTTATCTATATGAAAACACATACAAGCAAAACCCCCCAAACTCTATACATATTACTTTTTGTTATATATTCTATATAAATTATGTATAGGGACTATACAGAATTATCTAAAGAGAACATGCAGAACTACATATGGTGTATTTATGGATTAGGTATTCTTCCCGCACTATCTAACACTGCTTCTGCTTGAACTGAAACATTTAACATGCTGTATGTATCAAAGCAACTGTAAAAATTAAACTGCTTTGGAAAGGTCCAACCTGGAAACACTTCTTAAATCAAGTTGTTTGAATATCTATTGATTCAGATGACTCAATACAGCTACGTCCCTCAGGTTCTGAAGATTATTTGTTATTCCTAGGTAACACTGGTTTAAATGCAAGAGATCTGTGCAAGATGTTCGACTGAACTCAACATGAAAGAAAAAAAGGAAATCGATGCTCAATACTTCTGGAAACTCTAATATAAAAGTTTACATTATTTCTTTTCAGTTACTTGACCCATGAACTTGATTGATGCAGAAAAATATAGGATATTTGTATTTCTCTAAATATACTAGAAATTGAATCAATAGTCAAGAAAGGAATAAGTAAACACTACAAACAAAAAACGACACTACCTTGGTAGTTTTCTGAATAATCCAGAAAAAGTTTGTTTTAGTCATATTCTCTTCAGCTGGCCATGACCAAGGACCTTTTTAGCTGTTCAGCCAAAGTTACAGAACATATTCTAGTCACAGAAGCTTATCTCTACACCCACATTATGTTAAATTATGTTTTCTGTTTTCCCACCTTGATTCTTCAGCTGTCATCAAAAAAAGTCACTGATTAAAAAGGAAATACTGTAGTGGGTTCTCATAAACTTTTGCACATTATTCCCACCAAGTTAATAATAATATTCTCTTGAATTAAATGATCCATAACTGCATCAAACAAAACCTACTATCTGGGCAGTATGTGCAGTGAAAAAACAATGATTGCACAATTTTAGGAGTCTTAAATCCTGATTACTCAAGTGACAAGTGACATTTAAAAATGAGCTAATCAACATGTTTAGTGTTGTTTGTTATTGGTTTGGGTTTTTTTTAAAAAACTTCCTAATTTACGCAAGACAATTGCCTAAAAGGTGGCAACTTGAAACACCAAGGGAGATGTTGGAACAAGATTAAAAAAATCAACAAGAATGAGTATCTCTTTCCAAAATGTCTAGTTGTAAAATTTGTTTTATATTTCCCTGAGCAAAGGAGATTACTAACAGCAATCACATAACTAAAATCAACAGCCCGAGTTGTTGGTTTCTCAGTAAGTGGGTAATTACTTTTGTCTTTTAAAATGAACAAACAAGTTGTAAAGAAGAATAAACTGTAAAGTTATCACTATCACTTTGCTAACTTAAAAAAGTTGTTGCTTTAGATAAACATCATGGATTTCTTTCATGTTGTTGTTGGAAAAATGGCAAAATAGGGCCCTTTCTCAATCACTTGTTATTTGGACTTTAAGTGCACTGTGCTGGTTAAAAATGGCTTTTCAAAAGCAGGCATTACGTATACTGTACTTCACCTGCACCACTCTTATCTTCTAGTTAATCATTAAATCACTGAAGAGCTTAGGCAGATTAGGAAAGATCACCTAAAGCTA